AAGGAGATGGGGTCCCTGATTATTGACGGACTAATTTAACTCGGTTCTTGAAGCCGCCTCAATTTGATGCTTACGTCAGAACTGATCACTTAAAGGCAAAGGTCGGGCTTAGTGAACCTAACCAACCCTTTCGGTCATTCCTGTAATTGGTTACGCACCCATAGAGATGTTCCCATGCTCAAAATCTCAAACGACGCGGTAATAAGGCCTCAGGGCACGTACTATGCGCTATCGCCGCCTAGCCCCGCTACGACCGCCCACCTCGGGATGTGGCATAACGTGTGAAATCAGCTAGGTTGATAGCCGTATCAACCGATAGAACGACTGATATCTTCAGAAAACTTGCTTGTACGTGCCTCTTCCCCAAGCCGGCCTCCTTCATTGCTAGTGGAAAGAGGGCTTTGTTAACGGCCTTGTCGACGGTTTTTCTCAGTTTTTTCTCCACTGTCGTTCCACTTCGCATCTCTATACTCAGTTTCAATCGCCATAATACCCCCTTATTGAGCCCGACTTTTGCCTTTAAGGCAAAAGTTCGTCTAATGTCTGGTGTCTGGCCTTGTGATGGAGACGCAGAGCAAAAGGATATTTCAGTAAATACACAAAAGTGTGCAGCGATGAAAGACAGTGCATAGATGACAAGACGAGGCGTCCATAACATTATTTTGCCAGGATTTTTTTCGGTGCTAACTTAGTTGGGGGGCGGCGCGGGCAGTCTGCTCGCCTGGCATGTTCGGAAATCCGTGGGCCAGGGGGAGTGTAGGCAGTCTAGGGGGTGGGGGGTGGGGGCAGTCACTTGACATGCGTGAAAAGCTGGAATGTTCGAGTTTACACTGTCTCGCTCGAGAGAGCCCAGGTGAGCAGACTGCCGCGCCCCCCCCAAACTAAGTTAGCACCGATTATTTTTTGATTAATTAATTGAATTAATTTGCTCTGTTTTAAGGGGTAGTGCCAGGATCTCGATTTCGGGAGGGGGGTCCTACTTCTGCGACCACGTACTCGACACGATCTTCACCCTGCCTCTGTGTTTGGGACATAATCTTTGTGCGTTGGCCATGAACAGGCTTACTACAAGTTCACACCTAAACATACTGGAAATCGAAGAAATAACCAAGAATCCAGATTGATAATAAAAATAGAAAAAATAAAAAAAATTATTTATTAATATAAATAAATATAATATTATAATTAAATATTTAAATAATATATATTAAAATAATAAATAATATAAATATTATAATAAAAGCACATTGATTAACTAATGGTAAGAGAAATTACTATTGTAGTGCGAAGTTTTTAACACTTTTTCAAAGTCCCGCCAAAACTCCCTTCATAGACGTTATATGTTAGAAGTTAATATGATATACGGAAATTAGAAGAGTTGCTCTATTGAACTGCTTTTCAAGTGACTTGATTCGTTCGGTTTTCAGAAATGATTGACAACGTCGAGGATTTTTACAAAATTAACGAGAAAAATTCGTGATGGGTGCAGTTTTTACGCTTTTCAAAGCCATAACTTAGTTCAAACTCGTTCATTCTGAAAAGTTAATACGTCATTGTAAACTAGACGACTTGCTCTATTAAAAGGGTATTGGAACTGCTCAATAGTCCAGCATTTCGGAATTGGCCACGTCAATGAATTTTGCCCATTTTTACTGCCGGAAGGTCCTTTTTCGCTGCACTCATTTTACTTCAACTACTTTAGCTCCTTTGAGGAGCAGTTGTATACAAAAGGGGTAGCATATTCGGAACCCAAGTGCTCTTCTCTTCCTAATGAGTGTAAAATTACTAATCCAATCTCAACTTTAAAGATTGCATGCTTATGAATTTGACGCTGAAGGCTGCAATTTCTCCTTGAATAGTGGATTCGGCCGTCTTTTAGAATGTCATTTACACGGCCCTTTCAGAATCCTCTTAATTTTTCTCTGAATTGAGATTTTTTCTCTCAAGAGCCGTAGTTTGAAAGCGCACGCAACTGAACTGGGCCCACTCTGGGATGCGCCGTGTGCTTCACATCCCTTCAGATTGGTGGACTCATTGAAAATAAAATGTTCGTCGAAAAACGTGCGAATTCCGGATTATTCAACCTTGTCATGATAAGCCACTTAGGTAGCGTAGAATTACAAACAAGGAAGGTCTTTCAGGGTGTGCCAAGCTTTTTCAAAACGGTCTTTTGCATGATATAGGGCACATGCGGGAACCACAGAACCATGGTTAATTTTTCCTGAACGGCTCTGAATACCAGAAAAGGGGGTCTAGTCACACACCTTTTTCACCAGTTTTTCAATCAAAGTCTATTTGTAAGGGTTACTGACGGTCCTAATCATGAATATGGTACTAATTATTCATGCTAACTCCATTTTGCGCGAATTTTGAAACGTCAACTCGAAATGCAAAAATTTGTCACGAGGAATCGAACTAGGGACCCCTTTTCTGGTATTCAGAGGGCCGTTCAGGAAAAAATGAACCATGCTTCTGTGGTCCCCATATGTGCCCCAATGTCATGCAAGAAACCATTTTGAAAAAGCTTGGCACACCCTGAACGACCTCCCTTGTAAGCGGAAAACTTGGGAGCGGAATAGCACTGTTATTGGAAATCCTTGGCCAAGCTTGCACAGCATCGATCACTCCTTGATGTTTGTGTTTTATGGAGTCCTTCAACAGTGATGATCCTACTGCATCGATCCAGCCCGACCTTTCCTTCCAGCGGGCCAATACGACCCCCCCCCCCCCTGCCAACCTGTCGAGGATTCCTCAACGCACGCTTGACCCTGATCACACCTCCTTTCAATCAACAATCTGCTAATCACCTCTATGTGTTAACATTTGCTGGAATTACCTTGTGACATTCTTGTTACTGTTATTTTCTACAGAAAACGCACAGATGTGAGATGTGGCTGCGGCGCTCCCAAAATAGCGCTCGTCCCACGCGACCAAGAAGTGGAAAACGCGCGACGTCGTGAATGTGTTATGAAAAGAGCAAAGCGTCATTTCAATAAAATTTATTTCATGCATAACTCTGGTCACCACTTGGAATGATTCATTATGAGCGACATTTTCTCAACGGAACACGAATGCCACTCAGCTCGATCAACTGCTTCCCGTATTTCTCGTACAGCTCTCCGCCTTCCTTAAACAGTTTCGCTGATCAATCTCACGTCAAAGACCATAAATCACAGAAATATTATATTGGCCACACCTGAAACGCCTCTGACGGTTCACGCATAGTGAGAGCAATTCTCCTTCCACGGATGTGTTGCGACAACACAGCGTGTTTCCACTTATACCTTAAATCAAGCACTCCGCAAAAAAGATACCCGACAAGTTGTTTAAATTACACCAAGAGCCGAACCCGAGCTAAAATCGTTCAGACTATACGAAGGTTAATACGCTGAACCTAACGAAGACGATGTTTATGAGAAACGGATTGGTTCCTGATGCCCCATTCACGCTCAACGGAACGAACATCACCGAATGCTCCAGCTACGTGTACCTAGGTCGGGAAATCAATATGATGAACGATCTAGCTCCAGAGCTGAGCAGGAGGAAACGAGCGGCTTGGGGAGCGTACAAGAACATCGAGGGAGTAGTGAAGAAGACGAAGAACATCCGGCTCCGTGCCCACCTCTTCGATTCCGCTGTCCTTCCTGCCCTAACCTACGCCTCAGAGACTTGGACTCTGCGCAGGCAGGACGAGCATGCGGTCAGCGTTATCCAACGCGCTGTCGAGAGGACGATGCTAGGAGTAACCCTATACACGCAAGTGCAGAGGGGAATCCGGAGTGCCGAACTACGCCAACGATCGAAGATCAGGGACGCTGCCGTTTTCGCCAAGGAATCGAAGATAAGGTGGGCCGGACACGTCATGCGATTTTGCGATGACCGTTGGACCAGAGCGGTTACCGACTGGATCCCTCGGGACGTCAAACGAACACCTGGACGACCGCCGGCCCGATGGTCAGACTTCTTCACGAAAGCTCTGAACGAAAGGAATGATGGACTTCGTGTCCCTCGAGCAAGGAGGATCCACTGGACCACCCTAGCACGCGACAGGGACGAATGGAGACGTTGCTGGCGCCCGCTCGAGCAAATCGACGATCAACGGGACGACAGGTGACAGGTGACAGTAATTTTAGTTGGCTCATCAGTCATTTAAATAAATAAATACCAATGTTCCATAAGTTGTGTCGTTTTTATTCAAAGGAAAATTTTCTATCTGAAATACTGTGCTTTTAATATCTAACTATACTCTGTCGAAAGAATTTTTGCTCTACAAAAAGCTATGTTTCGCTTCCAAATTCGTTGCAGGGTTTTGAAATTACAGGCTTGGGAAAAGGAGGTCCAGCCAAAGAAAATTAGCCAAACTGACAAACTACCTAAGCCTCTCCTCATAGAGAATTCAACACCAATGACTGAACCCTCACTTAATCCTACCTCTTCGACATGCGCTGTTAGGCTTTCCATCTAGTCGCCTCGCTCCTTCTCCAGATTTGTTTTTGCCGTCAGAACTCAAGGGTTAAGCAACCTCTCTCGAAAGCTAACTCAAAATTTGTTTTTACAGCCGATACGCTGAAAAAACTAGCGAAATGTTAAGACAAGTCATGACTAAGTCAACAATTCATAGTGTACTACGAGAAAGGAAAATCCTTCTCAGGCAGCGACGAGTGCGGGCCTGATCAGGGTGACACAATTGCTGAACGGCTCATGAGACAGCATAATGACGACACTATTTTTACCCTATTTACTGCCCCACTCCTCAAGAACTGAGCCGGATTTTGATCGAAATTCGTCCATGACTGTGGATTTTGCTAGAAACTTGCCTTCAGGGGTAATTTGACCCGTAGATCGAATATAATACCGGTTTAGAGCGAAAACGCTTGGCGCCCGCGCCACAGGCGCCGGCGCTATCACAACAGTTTTGCGCGGGCGCTCGTAGCGCAGGCTACAGGTTCACTCGTAACAAACTGATGTGATAATCATATTCTACGGGTCAAAATACCTCTGAGGACAACTTTCCAGCGAATTTGGGGATCCGAGATGTTCTGGCGCCTTTTGGCGCCGGCGCTTCTGACGCGAGCGCCAGGCGTTCTAGCGGTAAACAAATGTGATATTCGTGTTCTACGGGTCGAATTACCCCCGAAGACAAGTTTCTGGCCAAATTCACAGTCAATGACCAATTTCGATAAAAATCCGGCTCATTCTCGAGGAGGTCAGTAAGGAAAAATAGTGCCTAATACTCATACGAACTGATATACACAGATACTCGGAAACATTAACCTACAGAACAAAGCAGAACTGCTTGCTCGGCCGCATTGATACCTGTTATTTAACCGAACGCAAACATCTGACATTTCAGCTTACAAACCCCCTGCTACAAACGAGTTGAGCCAAGTAATATCAAGAGAAATTAAATAAACTTCTGTAAGGACCGGAGACTGGAAAATTAGCACTGACGACAGGGACTGAGCGCCATGCGGACAGAACTAAATAGAACCATTTTATTGTGTGCGCTTTCTTTTCGAATTTTTTTTATTCATGTCGAATATAAAATCAATAAAGACTATGAACCACATGGCAGCAGAGTGGTCAAATATCCCTTGATTTAGCAAAGATTTTCTGAACGCCCAAAACTTTCACTTCAATTTTTTCCTAGTATTCCTTTCACTGTCGTAAACATTCATATGAAAGATTGTAGAAGCAGTTAATACAAAACTCTCTGAGTTTCAAGATATTTGTATTTGATGGAAGAACTTAGATATAAATGCCTTTTAACTTCATTCGCAGCGAAAAGTGATGTTTTTGCTTCTTCATAGTCATTCATGCTTCTTCTGAACAAAAAACCTGTAATATGTATAGTTAACCTTTATGCTTTCATCCTTGCCGAAATAATTCTATGAGATTCAAGTTATTGTGCATTTTTAACAAAAAATAGCGGAAGTAAGGTGAGGACGGCGCGCTCGCAAAATCGCTCCTGTCCCACGCGGTGCAAAATGCCAAAACACGCGATGTCGTCAACGTGTTAATCAGTTCAATAATAGTACTGTAGGAGACACTCCAGTCGCTTATGTCCACCCTTCAAACGGAGGCTGGGTTAGTCGCTAATCACTCATCTTTATCATATTCTGAATTTGTCGCTTTAATATTGTAGCTTGATGCCAAAAATGATAGAAGAAGGGACCTTTGAGGAACGAGTAAAAACGCGCAACCAATGTTTTCGCTTCTAGAAGAAAAAGGACACTTACTATAGTGGCCAAAAAACCCACCGAGAAGCGCCAAATGAAGGAGCCCCACTTTTCAAAAATAACGACTATAAGATTCGGAACACAGAAACCATTACGACTGAAATGTGATTACCTTGCTTCATCAGACATACACAATAAAGTTCCGCGGGACATCCATATGAAGCATAGCTGCAAGAATTAAGTTTAAACCAAAAGTGCTCCAGGAAAAAGAATCATTGACAGCAAACGAACATTGTCTAAAGTTCATCAAAAGAAAAAAGATACAACATCAACCAGATGAAGGAAAGCTATTCAAAAAGCGAAATAAAAATAACCAATATGAAAAACTACGACATGACTGAAGCAGCTAATTCGACATCTTAAAAAACAGCTAAAGAATACCTGTTGCGTCTCTTCGTTTGCCAACGTCATAACGGATCCATTAAGCAAATTGATGCTGAAATTGTGAAGAAAATAGCTCTGCTATTAATCCGCGACAATCCCCGTGTTTTGCACACTATCCACGAATGCATTCTACCTTTGTTTCTTCTCAATTATTTTTCTTCTTCTAGGCATTTCCAATCAACGAAAGCAAAGAGTTAAAAACAGTAAGAGATGACAGTACCTGATAAGACGATTACCCCAGATCCAGGTGTCGTCAAAATGCATCTCTATGGCACTTTTCCTATTTTCATCGTACTCCAAGTTACACATTTCAAAGGGCACATAGTTACCAAGCTTCTCCTGCGAAATAGCCCGCATCTTATCAAGCAACATATCAGCATATTCCGGCATGCCTGAACATAGTTCACAAATGTGATGTTCACATTGGTTACTATAGTGCAATCAAGGAATACCTACAAACGTGTCCACTTTCACCTTTTTGTGCTTGAAATTGACCTTTGGTCCAAAATCCTGGAAAAGAGCCATCATATCCATACATACATAGACAAGCTCACAACTTAAACTTGAAGTGTGTTGCTACCTGCTTGCGGCGGCCTGATTGTGATGGCACCCATTCGATACCGTCAATCATTTCCATCAAATCATTTTCCTCCGATTCCGTGATGAAATCCGGAACAAGCAGTAAACCACCAATTGTAATGCTCTCCTGACATGGAGCAGTCGAATCGTTTGCGACTGCAGCTAAAAAGAGATATAGAAAAAAACAACGTGGCCGCCATGCGACTGAATGCGAGATCCATCAAAAAGAAGCCTACAAATTCCGTAGCTTAAAGGCACGGGTCGAGATCGAATTGGTGTGTTATTTTTTTCGAAAAGTGAACAAGATGTGTGTTGAGGAAAGTGAGTGGGAAGAAAAAGCAAAAAGGCCATAGCGAACATTTATACCCCTTCGTAAAGGCCGTGGCATGAAGGAGGGAGACACAACGCTGCGAGGAGAGGAAAAGCGCGGGAGAGTAAGTTGTACGCGGGAGTATGCGTATGTGCGATTGATAAGGATAGCCAGGGCAGCACAAAATGCAAGGCCTTAGCGCCCTTGTCCTTGCATTTTTGAGTAGCGGCAGTGTCGTGAAGCATCCACCCCATTACTGTCAAATTAGTGCGAGTATACCGCCCAACGGCTTCAAAGGGCGCCTTCTCTACTGTCATCCGTACCCTCTTGGTAAGCACTGGAAGCTTCGTTTATATTTGGGTCTTGAGCTTGGTGTTGGCTTAATAGCGATTAGCGCTACTTAAAAATTGACAGAGATAAAGAAAAATTATGGAGAGCTCCTAATTGAAGTAAATCGCTCTCCGATTTAAACGTTTCGACTACCTGGCGGGTGTGTGGGTCAGGAACCTCTAAACAACGTTAGTGCGCGCGCGAAACTTGCAGCTTGCGCATTGTATGAGCGCATTGCGTCGTCGGTCGTCCGATCGCGATCGTAACGGTCGCATAAGCCGCGGTCGCATGGGGTAGGCGACGCGGTGATCCAGTGTAAACACGAACAACACGTGACTGCTCGTCACGGTATTTTGAACGTCCTGTTGTTCGAGTGTGGACTACGTAGATGCGATGAGATAGGCGCCAAATGCATCGTAACGATCGTGATAGAGCATGTTCTACGATGTCGACGGGCTATCTAATCTGTGGACGCGCTACGGTAATCGGTAATATAACGATGTTGGTGCGGCAAAAATAAGTCATCGCTCCTCTGCGCACTATACCATGTAGCTCCTGTTCCGCATTTCCGGAATCCTCTCAGTGGTTGTTGTGCCTTAAGGCTGCTTTCATAGTTCGCATCGGTGCGGTCGGTGCCGACGGTGCCGACGGCGCCGACCGCACCGACAGTGTGAAGAGCGTCAACACGCGCTCTGGCGCATGACGCGTGCGCTGGGCGCAGATGGGGCGCTCCGGTCGATAATCTTGGTTTTGAGGTATTTCTTGTATTTTTTCGATGTTTTTTGCACTCACTTCATCTGAATAAACAAAATTGCTTACGATCAAACACACCCGGTATGGCCACATCCACCCGGAGTTGTGCGACGGTTTCACGACGTCGGTCGCCCGCGGAACGAAAAAAGCATTAATCAAGCAACGAAAAGCATTAAT